GGCTGCGCTTTGTCTGGTTCCTCACCTAGGACCTGTCTGCCATGGGTGACCCTACCAGGGGCATAAAGCCCCAGACAGCATAGCTCCTAGGATCATTGGGACACTCAAACCCCTCCACCACGATAAGGTAGCAGCCCAAGGAGAGGAGGAAAGAAATCCTCTAATCTAATTAAAGTCTATAAAATTACTGATGCTTTCCTTTTATGAGTTCACTGTTTCCCAATCACAACTCCATTCTGCACTCTAAACCACAAATGGCAAAGGATTTTCTTTAATGCAAAGATGTTGACTAATTAAGATGCTCATTAACCTTTTGTTTGCTTTACTTGCATCTTTAGCAGCATCTTTCTTAAGAGAAAAGTTAGGAACAAAGTAATTGTCCCAGTTTGTAAGAGCTGCAGCGCTGCAAACTTTTTTTTCCGTGAGCTCTTCAAAGAAAAATAACAAATAAATAAATAAATAAATAAACAGTGTGCACAGGATTTTATGCTCCCCAAGGAGCACCGGGGCTGCCTGTCCTGCACTGCAGCAGAGATGCATTGCTCAAGCTGGAAACAAGCTTTGACAATGCATGGGAGCATGGCTGGAGGAACTTTAAAACATTAATGAGGTCCGGAAAAATAAAGTTTGCACCTCAACATGCTAGTGATGCACATATAGCCTCACACAGGTATGAACATTTAAAGTGCCTTTTGTGTTTAAGCAGATGGTCTAACTGAATTATATAATGCATTTCATCCACTCAAACAATGGCAAACAAGAGATTTCAGGCCTGTTCAGTATTACTCATACAGCTGTGATGGATGGTGTGAGTATTGTTCAGTTTTGAGTATTGTGTCATATTCAATAAAAAAATAGTGTGAGGATTGTTTGAGTGGAGTAGGATGATTTTATTTATGGTTTATTTTGGTTTTAGCTTTACAATGAGTATTGATTTATTTTAATCATTCAAGAATGTTGCTGTTAAATGTCATGAATATAAAAAAGGTGAACCAATGATCCATTAATTCTTTAATTATTCACCACTTTTTCTACAGTGATTTAACATTTTGATACAATCTCTGCATTTATGTTTCATAAATTATTCTTTTTTTTTTGGAGTGTTCCTAACAAATTGAAAGACAACATCTGGAAAGGGCGTGTTTTCTCCCGGTTAATGTGAAGGCTCTGCCAACATCTGTGCAAATGCCATCGACAGATGTCAAAGTTAAAAGGTCAGCGACAGATGTGGCTTTAAAACTTTCTCTCTTAGGAATAGATGGCATTTCCACAAAACAGCGGAGAGTGGCGAGACGATGAGAAAAAAGGATGAGTCTCATCCTTTCAGTTGTATTTTTTTTTTGGTAGTGTCGAGGTTCTTTGTAGATCCCCAAGCCTCTTAACCACAGCTGAGGGTGGTTTTGTTGTCTGGCCTCCATGCCTCAAGAGCTCAACTGTGAGTAAGACAGCATGCCTGATATTTAAGCTCTAAGGGTGGAAAATAACGGATTTTGCTGCAGGTGTCTCTAAAGCCCTGTAGGCTGGAGAACCGGGACTTTTTCCCTTCTGATGTTTCTGAGCCAGCCTGCTGAGAGGTGCTTGGTTTGGTGATAAAGCAGTAGAAATCCTTGCTTCAGGCAACTCCACGCTGTCCTCATAAATAGCAGTTCACCAAAAATATTGAGCACTTCTGCCACAAAWCCATAAACTTCGTTTTTCAGTGATTTATTTATTTTTACTATAATTTTGGAAGTAGCAGCAAATTTGGGCTGATTTATTTTTCTTTTTTCTTTTCTTTCTTTTTTTATTTTTTTTGTCTAAGTGTTTTCTTTCAAACAAACAAAAACATAATACAGTAACTTTTTAACTATTTAACTATTTTAATAGTTCTGCAATGTCTCTCACAGCCTGACTGCATTTGGTTAAATTCAGGCCATGAGTTTGACTGAATTATCTATTTAGAGGTTAAAATATATGTAATTTTCAAGAACTTATAGTTCAAAAAGCCTTCATTTTCTTAAGCTAGTTCAAACCACTAACAGAGGTTCTAGTTGGCTGCTTTGCTAAACTGAGTTATCAGAAACAGAAGGTAYTAGTCACTCAGGGTTCCCAATAAATTACATCCAGAGTTCCTTTGTGGGTTCGGGGAAAGCATTGGTGCGACACTCCACTAATCAGATCTTAAAAGTGTAGCTGCCAGTAATATATATATATA